GAGAGAGAGAGAGAGTGGGACGCGAGCTTAAATGAAACAAACTTCCACACTGGAATGGATGGGATCACGATCGCTGTAGGAGTGGCAGACCGGCGAGCAAGGAAGCGGGGGGGGATTTGCCGCCCACTTCGCTTATTTTCCGGGGTGTTTCCGTGCTCTTGGTCGCTTTTTCTCTCAGTCTGTGCTCTTGGTCGCTTTTTCTCTCAGTCTGTGCTCTTGGTCGCTTTTTCTCTCAGTCTGTGCTCTGCTGCTTCGCGTTCTCGTTACTGTCCTGTGTCCTTTCGTGTCTTTTTTTATGCTTGCCCTTTTTTTCTCCACGGCTGCTTTATCTGAACTGGGATTCCTCTTCCGTGTCAAGAGCAGCAAAGGGAGTCCGAACACGATCCGACATGTACCGTATGGTAATGGCACAGCCCGAGTAGTCCTTGGGACATTTACCTACATGGTTGTATATCATTGTTTCGCGGGCTTTATGAAGATTTTTTTTTTATTTTTATTTTTTTTTATGAAGATATTTTCGCCAGTTAGAAAAATTTTATATCATTATATTATATCACATTATTTCACGATATTATCCGTTATGGTCATCGTTATCGGATTTATTGGCATGTCGAAGTATTACTTAGTCATGGAATCGTGCCTGCAGTCGTAGCCGAAGTATTGCCCGTTAAAGTTTCCGTGGAAGGAAAAATATGCGCGGCATTTTGTTTTGTTGCGAAAAAATGTCGCACTGGAAAAAACAGAAGGCCAAAATGTACGCGCCCTCGCTTGCGGAGCGCCGGTAAAAAAAAAAAAAAAAAAAAAAAAAAAAAAAAAAAAAAAAAAAAAAAAACGTGTGCGCACGAGAAGAGGAAGGAGAGAACGGCAAGAAAAAATAACATGTGAGTGTAACGCGACGGAAAAGTCGAGAAGCACCTGCCTTATGACGGTATGGTACTCATAATATATATATAGTCTACTTTGATTTTGGTTAAGGTAGATTATCACTCACAGTGTAATCAGTGAGGGGATTCTGCAGACTGTTGAGGGTTCAGCCTCCTGATGAGTCGGTAGGTGAAACTCCGACGAAACAGTTTGTTACAGCCCCTCGTTTGTTGTCCTCTTCTCTCTCTCTGCCTACGGTTTACCGGTCAGTTCTGTTTGTGACGATATATATATATGTATCTGTTGATAAAGCGATCGTGAGTGCGAATCCTGATGGAAGCAATAATGCTGGAGAATATTTCCTTCCCCCCAAGCCCGCCCTTTTCCTTGTATTTACTGTAATAAAAAAGTTGGGGTAAGTACCAATTTCAGATGCACTCCAATGTCAAATCCATTTTAATTGCCATGCCTGGGCTTACGTGGACGAAAGGTCTCCACATCGTCTACTGTTCCATTATAACTCGCGATCAGGGAGTTGAGTAAGAGTCGTTTTCTCTCAGACCTCTCTCTCTCTCTCTCTCTCCTTCTCTCTCTCTCTCTCTCTCCTCTCTCTCCTCTCTCTCTCTTTCTCCTGAAAGGGCAGAACGTTATTGACACACTGAAGGCCCGCCATTATAACTCGCGATCAGGGAGTTGAGTAAGAGTCGTTTTCTCTCAGACCTCTCTCTCTCTCTCTCCTCTCTCTCTCTCCTCTCTCTCTCTCCTCTCTCTCTCTCTCCTCTCTCTCTCTCCTCTCTCTCTCTCTCTCTCTCCTCTCTCTCTCTCCTCTCTCTCTCTCTCTCTCTGCTGAAAGGGCAGAACGTTATTGACACAGTGAAGGCCCGCCGATCGGTGGCGAATTTTTTTTATTATTATTATGTGCGTTGGTAATGTTATTGGAGTTTTGTTTTTATGCCTTGTATTTCTCGCCGTGCCCTCAGTGTGTCACCTTGTATTTCTCGCCGTGCCCTCAGTGTGTCACCGATCGGCGGGCCTTCAGTAAGTCTCGGATGTTTTTCTGCCTTGTATTTCATCCGAGCTCTTGATGAGCTGGTGGAATTCCTTTCGAGCCGCACGCCTAAAGACGTGCGTGGAAATCCTTTACAGCAGACCAGCACGCCTGAGCGTCCTTTTCTCGCGCCAGTACGTGGAAATGACAAGTCCAAAATTGTCATCTTCGTTCTTCTGCGTCTTGGGAACCTTTTACCGTGAAGCGGAAGCCCCCCTGATTCTCATTATTAGGTTCCGTGAGCTTTTCAGGGTTGCGAGGTATAGGGTGAAGCTTCGGGCTGATCACTCTGCTTTTCACTTCCCTCTGCTCCATTTATCGTCCCCATCTTTGTCGTTCTGTCTCTCCGCCTCCCTCTCTCGCGTTCGCGGCCTTCAAGCAATCATTGCCATTGCGATTTGAACTCGCAATCTGCGTTGTGACATGCCTTCCGCGCCCTCTGTTTCACGCAATGATGCCATGGGACTGTCTCTGCTGACCGTTGATCCTACACACGCACGGCCGACCGGTCAGCGTGCGATGCCAGGATGTCGACGGCGGCCACGTGTCCACGAGTGCGCAAATGCGTTGTAATTGAGACGGGAATTTCGCATCGATTATCCTGATGACCCTGATGACCTGTGGCGACTGTCTTTTTCAAGATGTCTGAGCTCTTTTTTTCTTTGAGCAACATTACTACCGTATATGTCCATCCACTCTCTCTCCAATGCGCGCCCCTTTTCGTCTTCCACTCTTTCCAATGCGCGCACCTTTTCTTCTTGGGGTTTGAACGTGTCATCCTCATGAGTGCGCCGGAGGCATACGGTGTATCTTCTGTGTACCGTTCGATTGTCCCGAACGAC